GTGAGGATTAAGTTGTAGAGATGATGGATGGATGTTCCTCATTACTCTCTGAAGCCCAGGTTAACATATTTTGGACTTTTGTTGTATGATCAGCAGTCCAGAATCACAAAATATTAAGCTTCCTGTCACTAAAAGCATGAGAAGCTGCTACAAGAGAATTTTTGCCATTATATGTAGATGGAAAAAAAAACACCAAAAATGCTCATAAAATAACTAAAATTATGTCATATTAAACATTCCTATGCTTCCTGTGCCTTTTTCCTCCATTCTGGGAGTGTGATGCTCTGGCTCACTATTAGCTGATGTATATCACGTGGTAGTAACTCCGACTGACAGCTGCCTTGTCTGGAGGGAATCTTTGTTTAGATGGCAACAGCTAAACGCAAGAAATCACTCCCCTGATTACACATGTTGCTAATGAGAACGGAATGTGACCGTGATAACCTGATAAATAATCACTCAGTTAATGGAGGTCTGAAGGATACAGAGATGCTTCAGTCAGAACATAGTTTTGATTCAACTGATGCTCACTTCTGTTGTCTAGTGAACACTTCCCCATGTAGTTACAGGACAGCATACAGTTGTCACGCCCATTTTTCTGTTTTACTCTCAATATTATTTTGGCAACCGTGAATAGAAAACTGATCCTATCCTACATATTTGCATCTGTAGCCACAACTAAACAGAGAACAGTGAATAACAGCAGTGTGGTTAATGTGCTGTCACCGGTGGAGCATCATGGTCCTGGTATAACTGAGAGGAAGAACCGCAGAAGAGACCATAGAAAAGGTTCTACACAGAAGCATTAAACTAGTTATCACTGCAACATTCAGAGCTTTACTGGTGAGTCCCGTCTACAGTGTCTTTAGACAAGCTAAATAACCACATCTTTAGCCTTAGTCAGTGTGGTTCTGTGGTTTTGTGTTGACACTCCAATGTGCTGATATTCACCCTGTTACATTTTTGAACAAGATACTCACATATAGTTTTTGTCCTTTTTTGCATTTTCAGTTTTACTCTGGTGTCTAATTATAATATGGCAGCATCACACAACACTGGAATGTCAATGTCCAGAACAAGTGTCCCATGTGTGCAGATGCCTTTGACACAAGACCTGACCTGCGGGTCAACACTTTCATATCTACGATGGCCGATCAGTTCAGACAGTCAGCTGTACAGGAAGCCAGCAGCAGCTCAGAGCAACAGGCTGCAAAAACAGCAGAAGTTCTGTGTGACGTCTGCACTGACACCAAACTGAAGGCTGTGAAGTCCTGCCTGGTGTGTCTGACCTCCTACTGTGAGACTCACCTGGAGCCTCATCACAGAGTTCCAGGTCTGAAAAGACATCAGCTGATGGGTCCAGTGACGAACCTGGAAGACAGACTGTGTAAGAAGCATGACAGACCTCTGGAGCTGTTCTGTCAGACTGATCAGGTGTGTGTTTGTCAGTTCTGCACTGAGTCAGACCACAAGAGGCATGCTACTATTCCTCTGATTAAAGAATATCAGCAACAGAAAGCTAAGCTGCAGAAGACAGAGATGTGAGTCTTGATCAGCACACCGTCTGTGGCATCACTGGAAGGACGGCCACTGCAACACCACATTACATTTGTTGTCCTGCAACATAGTCTTTGTGGTTGTTATTATTCACACGTGGCAGTATTTTACTGTTAAACTGAGAAGTCATGCACTTACTGAGAGCTGATACGATGTTGAATCATTTGATATTCAGCTGATATTACAGCGTTGTGCTGACTTTGGTTGTAAATGTAACCAATAGTTAAATCACAAATATGAAGCTTGTGCATTCTGGACTAATGAGGCTGGAGTTCTGACATACGTGTAGTAACCCTGACTGAAGACAGTCCGTGTGTCCTCTGGCTGTCGTCATGAAGTACACCATGTCTTTTGGATTGGTCTGTAAACATCAGACTGAGCTCTACATGCACCTTTAGGCGTTAGTGTTCTACAGTCAAAAACATATTTCAAACAAGACGATACTGAAACATGACAAATGACATTTATTAAACAAGTAGAAATTACAAGTGTGTATAAAAATACAAACGTTCCTGACTGAAATGAACAGTTGTACATCTCTTTCTGACACACTACTAAAATATCGTCTCTAGATTAAGTGCAGACCTACATCACATGCTAACGTAAAGGACAACATCCATGATGCATTTCTACCCAAACATCAGGAGAACAAGGATCTCTCTAAGCTACAACTAGTAAATATGTTTCAGAGACAAAGGTAGAGTCTAGAATAATACAATCATCTATTGTGTTTGGTCTTCATGGCAGCATCAGACAGACATCCTGAACTATATTCATGTCCACAAAAAGCAATTCATTTAATTGTAGTGAAAATAAAACACTTTCAGTATAAGTTAATAAATACTTTGATTTTTTAACTACCCAACATAAGAAACAGCACTATGCTGGCCATGCCAGACGCTTCCTTCTTTTACATTTACTGCAAGTGAAGCTCTGATACTGCCATTTTTAAACAAAAACATTGTGGAAAAGAATCATAAAATTCATGAGTTCAAATGCAGATAGTGTCCCTGACATGTGACTGGACACAGCAGTAACCATGGATCTGCCTGAAGTCTTCATTCCATACTTATTAATTAAAACTCCATGTGAACAATGATTCAAGCAGATGACATCAAATCTCTGACTGGACAGATGCTTCTTTCATTTATATACAAAAATATATATTCAAGCTGTACAATATTACATCCAAAAGGCAAAACAAACAAAAAAAGCACATGCAAAATACTCTCAGCTTTATGTAAAACAAAACAGCCACAATACATGAACTCAGTGTTCCTCTAAAGGCCTCAAACTCCTCGTCAACCATGAAAGGGTAAAGCGATAATATCAGTGAGACATAAACTGCTACTGAGCCCGTCTGACAGGACGGGACAAGCTGCTGCAACCAGAGTGCAGGAGGTGCTTCTATTGTGTTTCTGCCACGACCTTCCTGAGGGTTTGTTTAGCTTATAATGGTTACTCTGACAGTTTGAAATGACAACTGCATTTGGACTGGAAGCCTCCCTGAACATTTCTTTGTGCTTACTATAAACAGTATGTGCACCATAAATCTATATTCTGTGGAGCAACAATTCAAAAGGACGTGTTGAATCTTTCATTATTTACAGACTTCAGAGACACAAACACTACGAACAACTAGGAAACCCATTACGTTTTGGTATAGATGTAATCATCTGTTCTACTACTTAGATGGAACAGTGTTCATTCTTAAAATGTATATATATATTTATATATATTAGAACAATATATTGTTACCGTTGCTGTTTAGCCAACTTGGAATCTGCATGTGTGTCGTTTTTCCAGAGTGTTTTAATGATAACTCAGCAAAATCCTGAGTAACTTTTCTTGTGGAGCTTTGTTTGTCCAAGAGTCCATCATGCAAAGGTCATTCGCGGTGCTTTGCACGGTACTAATTCAGTACGTCTCTGGAGTAAACTGTCCAATAGGTCTTTAGCTTGTCATGTGAAGTTCTAGTTGCTGCTGGAAAACATTTAATATTTGTCTGGTTGTGGCGCGTTTTCATTTAAACTTCTAATAGTAAATAAGAAACATGCAGTGCACATCTGAGCTACTGTCTGCCTGTCGCCCAATCAGCAACTGAGCCTACGGTCATCTCTGCAACGTGGAGAGAACTAGTGAGCCATACAGAAAACGTATCAATGTCATTAAACCATCAGACGTAAGAAGTAGGGAAGCACTTTGGATACATCACAATCGTGGTCAAAAGGTAAAACTGACTTTGTAAAACTAAACTCTACGGTTATGTGAGCACATCACTGAACCCACTGAAGCCCAAAACCAGCTGGCAGCTTTAAAAAGCACGTCATCTTTCAAACTGTTGCAAAAATCACATAATTAATCAGAGCCACAGATTGTAAAGACAGAAAGAAGCGTTGGATTTTCAACTTTTTGACTCATCTGTGATGTGCCGTTCTGTCAGGACACTGATCCAAACCGTGACCGTTTGATCAAAATCACTTAATTCTGTGTTTCACTTTAAAACTTGGCCAAAGCATGTTGTAGATTTTGGAAAAACAAAAATCCAACACTGCTCAGTGTAACCATGACTCAGCTGTGAGCAGCAGTCGAACAGCGAAGCACTGTGGAACTGTTCAGCTGAACTGCAGGCAGCACAGAGGAGACAAATTAGAGGCAGTTAAATATCTGGAGCACATAACGTCGCAGATACGTCCAGTATTGGTAACACATGTGGACACTTGACAAAATGTTAAATTCCAGGTTTTTTCAATTTTTGTAAACTAAATAATCAATAATATAAACTTCATTCTTTAATGATTTACGTCATTCTGTGTCAAACTGCACAGAAAACATCTCTGAGGTCGCTGGTTTTGCTGTTTATGTTGCATTTTACTGCAGTGATAAAAATGAGCCCACAGTGACTGCAGAAAGAGAACAGAAGGAGGTCTGTGTGGAGACGCCACAGATGAATGCAGTGTTAATCCTACCACTCAGTCTGGGGTTAGAATTCAGGGGTTGCATTCGAATTACTGCTCAAACTTAACTTTCTCCAGGAGCTGACAGCCCGATCTGCTGGTCAGTGACATGGGTTAGAGAGGCTGGCTTGTGCTCACACATGAACTCTCCAGTTAGTATGAACGTAGCAGCTAACCACTAGCGTCTGGCTAGCTCTGAGACACAGCCACATCACAACATAGTGGAAATGGATTTACTCCGCTTCACACATATGGTTTGTAATAAACAACTGAACTTCTGACATCAAGAAGAGGAAAGGCAAAGAGTGGAAGACCCAAATTATGGCTCCATCCTAAGAGTAAAGGGTGGATCTCAGAGGTCTCCAGGTTTCCATGCAGCGATCGTCAATCCAGCATTTTAGACAGAGCAAAATAAAGTATTTATTTAAAAAAGAAAAAAAAAAAGAATAGAATCTCATAGCAAGTCAAGACACCAAAAAACAGAACCAGTCTGAAGATCCAGTCCAGGGAATAACAAAATGTCTGGAAGGATAGCAGCAGCTTGGAAACCATTGAAAAATGACAGTGATGGTGGTTTGGACCATTGGTGTTGTGTTTGGTTGACTGTTAGCGGTCATCAGTGTTCTACTGTTTGTGTCCGTCTGTCACTGGAAACTATACCAACCCTGTGCTGCCTTCATCCTCCTCCTCCTCCTCCTCGTCTTCTTCTTCTTTAGGTTTGGGGAGTGGTGATGTGCTCACTGCGTTCTCTCCTGCTGCTGCCGCCTCCTCCTCCTCCTCTTCCTCCTCCTCATCCTCCTCCTCCTCCAGCAGACCACCTTGGTCCTGTGGCTGGTGCAGGTCGGGCTTCCTCTGACAGCAGGGCTTGTAGAGGTGGGGGTCGATGATCACTTCTCCGTAGCGTCCCTTGTACACAATGCCGCAGCACACCTTCTGCCTGAAACACCAAACACACCGCTGTCACTACGGACCTCAGACACCAGAACACTTGTGAAGCAAATGACGGCGTGTGGAATGAGCAGCAACAGCAACAGGGAAAGTGATGAACAAGCAACAGCCAGAACGCAAATATCAGAGCATTAGAATAACGAGATAAAACATCTCAAAGAGTTCTAAGCAGCTCAAAGACAGACATCCAGACCTGACAGGATTCAGGCCAAGACGGACTCCACTGCTGCTTTATAACAACAGCTCGTCATCACTTAGTCCACATCCTGATACGTTCCCGTTACAGAACTGTGGCAGCTGCATCTGTTGCAGCATTGCTCCACACACAGGCTAATGTTAGCTTATTTAGGCGAACGCATCAGCTTCTCTGTTTCTGTATCAAATTTGGTGTCGACAGTTGTAGAAGTTCAGGGTACCACGAACCAGATCTGTTAATCCCAAACACAGGAAGTACTAGCAAGCTGAGACCATTTCAGCTGCTTGATGACTTGACAAACATCAAACATCAAACATCGTGTCTTTTTATAGCATAGATGATGTGAGATGAGTAGAAATAAACAAAAAATGATTTGTTGTGTTATTAATGCCCATTAAGGCGTCGTGTCAAGTGTGCCGTATGATGTATCTGTCTGTCTAGTCAACAGAACTGTAGGATTTATGTAGACATCCTACACAGTGGAGACCATTCTTGTTTCTGTTTCTCACATTGTCCATGACTGCAGGCTACTGATGGAGAGACTTTCAGCTGCTTTGTTTCAGTCTTTCAAGAAATAAAGAGTAGAAATAAGTCTTATATTATCTGCATCCAGTTCCTCCGGTAGAGTCGACCAGATGGATGGTGGCAACAAGAACAAACAAACAAACAAAAAAAAATCCCAAAAGAGTACTTAAAGACAAGATGGCTGTAGGTTAAAGTCAGTAACATAGTGTCTGTGTCTGCCAGGGTTCGTTACGCAGGAAGAGAAGTGTGCATGTATGCAGCAGAGTGTTCAGGTGGAGTAGGAAGGTAGTGTCATAACAACAGATACACATCTGTGTGTGTCTGTGTGTCTGTGTGTGTGTGCGTGTGTGTGCGTGTGTCTCTGTCTCTGTCTGTGTCTCTGTGTGTGTGTGTGTGTGTGTGTGCGTCTCCCCCAGGGTGGACAATCAAGGCTAACTCTGGAGGCTGTTTCCATATTAAAATCATTAGTTCAGTAAACTGCGTATCATTAAAGAAACAATGATTAGAGTTGACACAGTAAGTGCTGACTTTACTAAAAAGCAAGCATCAGCTGATGTCTGAAACAACATCAGGCAGTTCATATATGTACACTGAACCCACAGCTGCAGCCCACATCATGTGGCCCAGCATCACTTCTTACCTTTTCCAGTATGTGAGGTCCAGGAAGGAGAAGGCCGGCGGCGGGGCGGCGCCGGGTGCCAGCTCTGTGTCGGAGCCCTCGTCTGACTGGTTGCTGTAGCTGGGCGACTGTGCAGGCGAGGCACTGGAGGTAGTGCTGTGGGCGTCTGAGTCTGAAGGACACACAAACAACACAGCTTTGCATGAGCAAACAAAACAGCTGTATGGTTGTGTGAAAAATCATTTGAGAATTTAAATTAAAAAAAAAAAAAAAAAAACTGCTCATTTAGCTTGTGAAGACGCAGAGTTTTCGAAACTCTTCAGCTTAACAGGAAAAAAATCCAATTCTAAACTGACAAATTTGGAGATATGTTTTTTTTAATTGGTCAGAAATAAGTGATTTGTTCAAAATTTTCCTCTCAAAAGTTCTAGATTACAAGGAAAAAGCGGAACATAAACAATTTCAATTTCCTGCTGAGGTACACCACCTGAGTAAAGGTACTTAATTACATTAAATAGCTATTGGCAAAGAAATCTAACTTCAGACTGGTTACCTGTCCAGGTGAACCTGCCTTCACCCTGAGTCGGCTGGGATAGACTCCAGCCCCCCATGACCCTAGTGAGGATTAAGGTGTATAGATAATGGATGGATGGATGAAACAGAGCAGACTGCCACCTGCTGGAGGCTGCTACAAAACACAACAGACAGTCTTTGGGGCAGGGAAAGCTACATCTGAACTTTATATGAAAATGCCAATTTACTAAACTGATTCCACAGAACAAAGGAGAGGATGGAAGTACATGTAAATGTAACTGAACAGCTGCACAGTTCATCTCTGAAACTCAGCGCAGCTTCATAACACTAAGTGGGCTTGAGTAGCAAGTCCAGCTGCTACGATTAATCTACCAGAATAACCAGGACCTGGATGACTGAGAATCTTCAGACAACACTAACTGGGCTTTAGTGGTAGAAAGTAACCCAGAACATTTACCTCGGCGCCGTACTGAAGTCCACTTTTGGGGTACTTCACGTGACTATTTTCCCATTTTCTTATGCATTACACTTGTATCATATGAGATGTCTGAGGCTGATATTCGACTTTTCACAACTCTTTTTCTAAAAAACATTTTTTTCTAGTGACTCTGAATATTAAAATTTAATATTTGCAACAAAATCTGTGTCTGCCTGTTTCTCTTTGTCATGTTTCAGATGTCTAGTAGTTTTGATCAGTTTACCTGTTCTGGTAGATTAATCGTAGCAACTGGACCTGCTTGAGTTCCTTGAAGACGTTCCACCTCTCATCCAAGAGGCTTCATCAGCTCTGACTGACTAGTTTCCACATACTGATATCTATAAGGAGACATTAACACCTGAGTTTCAGTTTCAATTGGGAAACTCAAGCAAGTCCAGTTGCTACCATTAATCTACTAGAAAACCATGACCTGGATGACTGAGAATCTTCACAGACATCAGTTCACCTGTAAACTTCCAGGGTCCAGGGAAGTCTCAAGTTGTTCTACCTCATGTGTCATATGTGGTGATGTTCACTTACAGGACACATTCAGTGCAGAATTTTAACCATTACTGTTGAAGCCTTCAAGTGGTTTCTGAATGTAAGACTTCTCTTCATGATGCAGTATTAGCACACTGTGGTGTTGGCACTCGTAAAGTGAATGACCTGTCTAGCTCCACCGCTGTGTAGTAACCAATGACGCTCCTGAACTCAACCCAAAGTGTTTGTGTGACTCAGTGAAACTAGGAATGTTGAGACGAGGCTCAGAGCTGATTGGCTCAGTGATTAGACTAAAAAAAATAACTGTCATGTGTGAAGTATGCACCACTGCAGCCCTACATACGACACAGAGACTGAACAGGCTGCTTACTGCTTCTTTTCAGCTCGCTCTGAACACGACTAATCTGACTCGGCCTCAGTTTCTTCTTCTTCATCTTCTTGGTCTTCAGTGTGGCCTTTACACTCGATCCAGCTTTTGCATCAACCACCTGAATCCACACAGGACACACGGTTTGAGAGACAAAGAGGAACAGTGAGTCAAATACTGCCATCAAAACGCTGTATCTGAATTATACGAGGTGTGTCAGAAACGTTTCAGGACCGGTGTCACAAAAGATAGATTTCAAATTCAAACTACCAGTTTACTCCTTCAAAGTAATCCTCCTGGAGTCTAACACACTCCTCCAGCCTTCTCTTCACGCCTCCATGCACTCCTGGAAGGATTCTTCCAGGATCCTCTGCAGCTCAGTCGTCACAGCCATCTTGATGTCGTCCATGTCTTCTAAACAGGTCCCCTTGATGACCCCCTTTAGCTTGGGGAAGAGGAAACAACCCCACAGAGCCAGGTGGGGTGAGTAGGGAGGTTTCTCCAGCACGGCCATGTTCTTCTGAGTCAGGACCTGTGGGATGCTCAGGGTGTTGTGAGCAGGTTGTCATGGTGAAGCAGCCTCCACTGGTCCTGACACAACTCTGCCTCTTCTCGTGCACTGAACGAAGCAAACGCTGCAGGATCTCTTTGTAGACGTGCTGGTTGATGGTCTGAAGGGGAAAACTCCTAGTTTGTGGTTTGAAATATATCTTTTGTGACACCAGTCCTGGAACCTTTCTGACACACCATAGTTGACTTAATATGAAGCAGCACAAAAGATTTAAGTGTAAGTATGATCCTTACATGATTCCAGTTCTTCTTGGATCCAGCTGGAAGTTTTTTCCATCTCTTGACCAGGAGGACACAGGCGTTACAGATGTCCCCACAGCGCGCCTCCCCCAGTCTGCAGGGGGAGAAGAGTTACTCAATCAAAAGCAGCATCATAGAAGCCTATTTTATACACCTCTGCTTGTACGTCAGCCTTGTGTGTGTGATGTCTCTGGTATGGTTGAAAAGAAATGGATTAAATGCACATATAGATAGTTAATATATTTGCCCTGGCATCGTTTAGAGCTGCTGTAATTCCTGCCCCTCAGGATAACTCACTCAAGCTCAGCAACCAAGACCAGTGAGCAGAAAGTAATCCTCACAGTACAGAACACTGAGACAGGATTATCACCCAAAGAAAGGTAAGACAGAACAACCACAGTAAGACATGGGTAAGAGGAGAATCTTCCTGGTGCCTGAACACTGCATAAAAAAACAACCATCATTCACTACTGAGCTGTGATTAATGCTGGAAAACAAAACAAGCAAATTATTTTCCAGTTCCACAGCCCCAACTCACAGCATGAATGAATCCAGTGATTCCTGTTCAGCAACACTTCATGATAGTGGACAAAAAACAAAAAAACTCCAGGAAGAGACCTCTGGCAGAACCAGGCTCAGTCAGTCTGCCTCCACTGGTTGGGGTGAGGGCAACTCAATCAGGCTCACGGTTGTTGTTGTTTTTTACCTTTCTTTGGGTGATGATCCTGTTTTAGGTTTTAGAACTACAGTTTCCATAATCCTTTAGGGTTATAAACATCCAGCATCATGCCATGGTGAGTATAAGTCTTGCTCTTTTAGCTGATATTTGTTTTACATTTGGCAGGTTTCTGCTGCAGTAGCTCCTTAAACAACACCTGCATGCACCTTGTCCTGTACTACCTGAACCGAACAGAGACCTGTGCTCATCTGTACTGCTTCACTTCCTGACCCGACCAGCCGGCTGTGTGGACAGAGACTCACCCAAAGCAGCTCTTGAAGTCGGTCTCGTAGCGTTTGCTGTCAGTGAAGCGGGAGCTGGAAGACTTGGCTCTGCAGATGCAGCAGCCGTCTATGCTGCGGTACATCTTCGGCTTGTGGAAGCCAAACATCTGCAGCACGAAGTCAGAAACATGCAAGTAATTAGACAATGAAGATGCAGTATGTCCCCACACAGCTCCATCAGTTATTTTACTATTGCTCGACTTCCACCTGGGACATAAAACCTGCTGTAAAAGTTACAGTTTAACTCAGATGTCTGCAGGGTTTTATCAGTTTAACACAAACTATGATGGAAAATGGGCACATTTTGTAATTTAAGGGTAGATAGAAGTGTCTACTTTCCATCCTTGCTACTATCAATGATAATAATAACAATAATAATAATAATAATAATACATTTATTTTGTATAGCGCTTTTCAGGATACTCAAAGTCACTTAAGATAAAAATCTTCAGATTAAACTTTTTCATTTTAAATGTACTGATTGTTTGTCCAGTTGTTCATCACAATTCCTTAACACCAAGTTCTCAAATCTCTTCAGTCAAACTGACAAAAAGGTTGAAACACAAAATTTGTAAGTCACAGCGACACATGAAAAATCACACGTCTGATTTCAAACATTTATAAACTGGTAAAGAATTCTTTTCTTTTTTTTCTTTTTTTCACAAAAATGCACAACAAAACCCAACAAAAATAAACTTAACCTTAATTTGAGTAATATCAGATCTATACTGGATCAAAGCACATGTGATTAAAATTCAAGGTGTTTTGAAACCAGCATTTGATCAAACTCCTCCTAGTGTTTGTGACACGTCCATCTTTGTACCATATTGTGATATATTTACTGTTCTTCACAAAGGCTGAGTATTTTTTTCATCTTTCCAAAAACCCTTGTATAAAAACAGGCTCCTATGAGCACATGTTGAGAAAAATGCATGTGCTTATGGGCCAGACTCACTCAAGTCAGAACTCATTATCAATAGATGATCTGATACACTGAATAACAAAACCAAAGCCGGATACTTCTGTTTTTTAGGACAAAAAAAAGTTTCTTAAAGCACGACAATTGTTGTAAAATTCCAATCAGATCATTAACAGGTAGATGCTCTCAGTTATCGGTTTAGAAGTTCTATTTTTTGAGGATTTCCAGACAACACTGGAACCACGTCAGTGAGGATTCACTGAAACACGCTGGATCTGTGCGCGTTTACGTAAGAGCCCCTCCTCCTGGCGCTCCTCACACGTGGGGGAGAAGAGGGAGGATGAGGATGGGAGGGGGGGAGTTATCAGGCTGAGCATCACCGAGGAAGAACAGCGGCGGCCTGTTACGCAACAGCGGTGCTGATGCAGCTCAGACAACATGTGTCCGCTCTCATCCTCAGCACACGTTCACCACCGCGGTGACCACTTGACCTCCTTCATTGTGGTCAAAATAACACGTTTTGTACCAACGGCCAAAAAAATGTGCATGTGACAAGGGAACAAGTGGAAATGGAGCCGTTTGACCGGCGATAGTCGTCATGTGCGCCGCTGCGCGGTGATGCTGGCAGTGATTGTGTAATACTGTCCTGACTGAAGCCTGGCACATGGCAGGAGGATGGAGGCAGGAGG